CCTGTATCTCCCAATATGTCAAACTATTACTTTTGTGTTTTTTTTCCTTTAATAATTTATATATCATTTACAATTCAATCATTTCTTTCAACTTGCTGTAAAACTTTAACTAAGACTGAGGTTCAATCTGCTCAGGCCCCATCTACATGCGTCTGGACACCCATCGAGACGGCCTTCACCCCTTCCAGATCACCAGGGCGTGGAAGGAGGTGACCGACGGAGTGGACGCTGTCTTTTCCTACACTGACAAAATGTACTTGATTAAGGTAAACCTTTAAGTAACCAATCAAAGTTATTGATTTCATGAGAAAACTTTGGTAGCAGTGTTAAAACTAAGATCCCTCCTGTTCTGCCAAACCCCTGCAGCATGATCAGGTTTACATCTATAAAGAAGCGGTTCACTACACCCTGATCGAAGGTTACCCTAAGACCGTGAAGGAGGAGCTCGGCGTTGAAGGACATGTGGACGCTGCTTTTGTGTGTCCCAAGGACAACACAGTTCATATAATCCAAGGTGAATTTACAGAGTGCTTAATTTTTAGGTTTAACCTGTTTTTTAATATTCATAAAGCTCTAAGCAGAAAAGCTTTGTGTTTGTGATTTAACAAACATGTTATTTCTTCCAACAGGACAGAGGATTCGTAATGTTGACCTGACCGCCACGCCCAGGGCCGTGACCCAAGATCGGCCCTTGCCCTTGGATGGCATCGACGCTGCTCTGTGTGGCGCAGATGGAATTAATTTGTTCAAGGGCTCCCAGTATTACCACTATGATAGCCCCATGATACTGGCTTTGGGCAGAATTGCCCCTTTGCCCGAGAACATCACCTCAGCAATGATGGGATGTGAGGATTAGGAGACAGGGATGGGAGAATATTTAACATTCATCTGTTTATGTTTGGTGAATAAAAAGTGGCAAAACTGCACATCTGGAGTTGTTTTGTTCATTTTCAGTGATTATCATGAAGACAGCGGTGTGATATAACAAAGCAATGATCTGCTGGTTCACCCTGTGTACAAAATCCAGAGGGAACTTATTAAGTAATGTGAGAGTTCGGCCACTAGAGGACCTACTGTACAAATGAATGTGTTACACTAGAAATAATAAGAGGGAGTCAGATTGACTCGAACATGAAACAGCTGCATTAAGAGTCTTAATACAGACTGTGAATGTATCAACATCTTTATAATAACATGAAGAAGCAGCCATTTTTCACAAGCTTCCTCCCGATCAGGTCTTTTTCTAAAGGCTTCCAGATCATCAAAGTGCCAGTTTAAACCAGGAAGTCTGCACCCTGATGGGACTCTTCCCCTGATGTTACAACAAAGGGACACTTAAGTGGTCTAAATGCCTCTTTTGTAAACATGTTCTCTCCAAGAGCCTTTCTTGGTCAGCCTCCCGCTTCTCTGAAGTGCTGCTCTAGTGTGAAAATGATGCTTAAAAACATTAACCCTCACCCCAACACGGTACATAGTAGACATCCCCTCTAAAACCTTTCCCTGCTTTTACTCAGGCTACATTCACACTGCAGACCTTAGCGCTCAATTCTGATCTGATTTGTTCACAATATTTGATCAGTGTGGCCCACATCAGGTTCTAGTCCTGATGGTGAATGTCGCTCTAGAGTGACGTAAAAGTCTGCACGTCGCTCTGCAAAAGATCAGACCTGGATCTGATTTGGACCATGTACAAAAGTGGCCCAAATCTGAATTAGAAAGATCAGATTTGATGTGATTTGTGCTGTTCACACACATAGCCTTGGAGAGTCTGGAGAGACAGCACAACCCCCATACAGACAGACTGACAGCACTATAAATAATGCTCGTAACATAATTTACACAGCCACCAATGAGCTTGTCCAGTTGTGAGCATATTGCAGCTTTTCTGTATTTTTTTTTAATGAGTTTTTAATGATTTCCAGCAGAGAGGTACAGGTGTAGATGCAACCTCAGTAGAAGGTTTTCAAGCAGGTGTGAAGCTCTACATCGCTGGCCTTAATTTAGAGAAATTTCTAGCGGCCAAAACTTGATTTCTTGCGAGAAAGACAGTCCGGATCAGAACTTGACACAGACATGTTTTCCACAAAAATCAAGGTCGACCTTGTTATCAGGAGTGCTGCTTTAAACAGAAGAGACTTCATAGTTGAGCAGACGTGACAACTGAGAGTGAAACACTTGTCCAGCTGAGCCACAAAAAGAATTCCAGACAGATTTGCTCCCAATTAAAGCTAAATTTTTATATTTGATGAATGGGACTTTGACTGTTTTAAACCAAGAAAGCATTCAGGAATGAGGCAAATATTTAGGCTGAGGCTATTTAGTATATTGTTTTATTGTCATCTGTAATCAATTTAATTGGAATTTTGTTTTTTATGGCAAGTTCAACATAAGTAAGACATTTGTGTAATATTCTCTGCAACTTTAAAGTCAAGTTGTCCATTCCAACCCACCAGAAATGTCAAGAAAAGGTGCGTATTTCATTTAAGGCCTGGTCTGTCAACACTCCAGTATTTGTGTACAGTATAAACATACAGTATAAACGGTCCACGCTCATATTGGACTATACGGACACGTACGCAGCAGCCTGCAAGAGTCCAGAGATCGGCATGGCATTAGCAGGCATTCAAGGCCTTTTCACTCCCTGGAGAGGTTTTTGTTCAGCCAAAATCCCTGGGACTTTCAGCATGCATAAAGGAAGTGCTGGCCTCAGCACAGCTTAATGGGGGCGAGGCCCTGAGGACACACACACACAAACACACACACACACACACACACACTGGAACACACATGCATGTGCACATAGAAGCACCACTGCACATACACACATGCATAGCAGACAGTACGGACTGTTTTCATCACACACACAGAGCTATCAGCTATCAAGTCATATTAATCAGTGAAATAAATACAAATAAATAACTTCTTTTATTTATTATTTGTTTTGCTGAAAAACGAGCCAGTCAGCAGTGTGTTAGTGGCGTAAGGTCAGAGAGAGTGTATGGTGGCTGGTAGGGACAAAAGTTTGAGGTGAATGAAAAATAAAAGAGATTACATGCAGATGTTGAATTGTTCACTCACAGGAGATATTAGATATATTATTAGATCTTTACTGTAAATGTTTAGTTTTCAGCTGGTTTTTACACATCTCTTGAAATAATTCCATCATGATTTAATAGTACAGTAGTATGGTGTCCCTGGAGGATCAAATACAAAGTGTGCTAAGCTGATATTAGCTAAAGGTAGGCAAAGGTGTCTGAAATGGGAAGGATTTATCCTCTGGGGAGCATGAATCTGACTTTAATTCCAATCCATGGATTAGATTGTGATTCTTCTACAAGTAGAAATATTGGCCTGACAGTTGCACTACAGGAAAGATAAACGGCCCATTATTCAAAACCACCAATAGTCTGGAGATAAAATGTCCCATTGGACCAAAAGCCCATTTGTCCGGCAGTCTGTTACCCAGAAAACAAACCCAATATTCTGAAAATACACACCGTGCACCATGATAGTGTCACGTTTTGCCCCACCTAGACGTGGAAACCGGTGTATTACACGCTTTAGCATGATACGATACCTGGTTGGTATTTCTGGAGCAATGGGCCTTCAGAGCAGTGGGCATTTGTTTTCAGGAAAATGGGACTATTGGGGTTTTGGATTAATGGGCAGTCGGAACAATGGGCTGTCCCCCGAGGTCACAGGGTCACCAAAAACATCCATTCTCCAGGGATCATGATCATCTCCAGCAAACTTCATCATAATCCAGCCATTTGTTTTCACTATCTTGATTTAAGGTGGAACTAATGTTGAATAAACTGGCAGACGCCACCATGTTTAGATCCACTAGTAATGCTTGGAATGTAACACTGTAACACCCTTCCTTTCAGACAAAAGAAGAAACTGTTGATATTACCAGTTAGCGGATTTTATTATTATATTAACATTAACCAACACTATGAAAATTTGTTAAAAATCTGTCTCCAGCTGACCTTTTTATGTTCCCTCCCTACTGTTGACAGAGTAAATCATTGATAGCTATCATACTGTGCAAACCCAGCGCTGTGAAACTGGTCTTGGACATGCAACACTAAGGTTAGATTTATTCTTTACTGTACTGTTTGAATGTGAAAAGGCTTTGAGAATGAGGACTTACTGGTGAGTTCGGCCATTGGGGCGAATCCAGTACAGAACAGGACTAAGCCACTAACGTTATCCTAAACTCTGATATTGTTAGCCTCCATGAGTAACCGACTTCCATCCTAAATGGAGCATAGATAGCTTGGATTTTAAGTTTAAATCTATCCAAACGCGATAAATACTAGGTGCTAGACCAAAGCACATGTAAAAAACAGACAAATAGAGCCTGCACACTAGACAATGGCTCTATGAACATTTATTGATATTCACAGTGCGAGGATGGAAAGCTTGACAGGGGTAGCAACAGTAACTAAGGAGGGCGGGGCTCAGTGAACGTCATCTGTGTCCACTGTTTCTGCAAATTCAGTTTCATCAAATGGTTTTTAGTTTCTGAAGCCCAGATGGAAGATAAATAATCCCAAAAAGAAAACACTTACAATGACAAGAAAACAGGTATGGTACAAAAAGTTTATTCAGTAACAGTTCTGTAAACATCTGAGGTAAATGAACATTTACATCAACTTGTTCTTTAACAAAAGGTTCAGACGCAAAGGCACTTCTCTTCAAAGACAGTCATTTTACAACAGGAGTCACAGCAGGGGTTGTTCTTCATTTCTAACATGTGGGAGTCTGAGTCCCTGCTGGTCGGGGGGGGCGCCATGAAAATCCCATCACGCAAACCTCCGTTTTCCACTGCGGGATTTTTTATTTCAAGGCACATCCATGGTGTAAAAGTTGGAGTAGCCAAAAGTCTCTCAATCCATATTCAGGACAGAAAAAAACAATCACTTTAGATTCATATTTCTTGTCCATTCCAAGTCTAATTTGATAGTGTTATTTCCATAAATAAACAAAAATATGTTAATACTCCTCCAAGGACACCCTTTTTCTTTTCTATTTATAAAATCTTCATATCCTCATAACAGTGGTCTCTAACTATCTAACTGTGCAAATCTTTATCTACATATCAAAGGTACTAAGAACAGCTTGGAACAACAAGGTTATGAAAAACAGTTCAGCAATAGAAATAAGTAAAATGAACCTTGTTTCAACAATCTTTTAGAGACAAAGCTCAACATTATGTCTTTTTTTAGTTCCCAGATTCATAAAAGGGTTCAAACTGATCTTGTGGTTGTTGGGGTAAGGGGCGAAGTTCCCACACAAAGCTCTCATGTGTTGTGATATCTTTGGCACAGGTATCTTTGGTTTGTTGGATATCTTTGGTTAAATCTCACACATCACAGCTATTAACATCTTCTCTGAAGGGCTTCAGCTGCCGTCGTGTGCTGAAGTTGTTTATTGGCACCTAAGTTTGACATGTAAACATTCGACAGAGTAAACAAACAGCATAGATCCAGGCTTAGGGATCAGCCTAGCATACATTTGTAGCTAATGTACCAGATTTTTAAAGTGCCTTTTACTGCATCTCACCTCTTATTTGTTACCTCATGTTTCATTTGGTTTATAGAAGTTAAATGGTTGCATTCATGACAAGTTGGAAATCTAAATATGCACCTTGACACGCCAAGCTCAAGTCACTAAGCTACAGCTACTTTACTGTAAATGAAGCCTTCA